GTCCAGGTCTGTGGACACCAGGAAACTCCCTGACCGCCCTCCCAGCCTCCTAGTCCCCATGGACTGCCAGGGCTGGCAGAGTAAATTAAGTAGTTAATGCATTAATGACTAGTACCAATGAAGGGTTAAGGAGAGGGGAAACTAAGGGAAGGCAAACAGCTTTTTGGACCCCTCAGTCCAACCCACACTTCCCCTTTCAGAGAAAAAGACACGAAAGTTCAGAAAAATTAAAAGGACACAGCCAAATGGTAAGGGGCCGAGTTTGTTTGTTCGTTCGTTCGTTCATTCATTCATTCATTCCCTGGATTAATACTGACGCCAAGAGGAAAACCCAAAAGTCCGGCGCAGGTCGGAACTTCAGAAGTCCTAAGGAACTCTACTAAGTGTGATGCAGGGGGAAGAACCCCACCAGAGACACGCGAGCCCCTGACCCTTCAGTGCCCGCGCCCCCCGCAGCCCCCCGCGCGCGTGCGCAACGCGGCCAACCCCGCAGTGGCCATGGCAACCAGCTGTCCCGTCCCGGCTACCCCGTGTACTCCCCGCGCGACTTACCTTGGCCCCTTGGCGGCCCCGAGTTCCCCGGACCCAAACCCACGGCCCCGGAGCCCCTCTTGTCCTCCCTCCCGCCTGCGCGGGCCACGCCAACAAGCCCACGCCCACCCCCTCTGCCGGGACCGGCCGAGGGGGCCCCTTGAGCCAAGTCCCGCCCCCTTCACTTGAACCGCTTCGCTCATTGGCTCTGCCGCATCCGACCGCCCCGCCCTTCTCGCTCCCCATTGGCCCAGACGCGCCCGGTGAACTAAGGGCGCGCGAAATCGGGCTCGGGCGCGACAATTGAATCGCGGGGAGCCCCGCGCGCAGGCGCGGAGCCTGACATCCTCCCCTGCAGTTCGCCAGGCCCTCCCCCACCCAGCCGGCGCGACCCCCGCGGGGCTCCGGGAATGTTCCGCATGCCCGTGCCGGAGTCTGGAGTTCCGGGGGTACTTCCCAGGGCTGGCCGGGCGGGGGCAGAGCCCGAGACCACGCACACTGCAGCCCCGGCGCGGGGCACACGTGCGCTCGTACTAGCCGCGCGTCCCGGGCCGCTCACTAAAGCTCTGAAAAGTTTTAGCGCCGGGTGTGCCGGGTTCCCCACCCGCCCCGCCCCGGGCTGGCACCTGGATCCGCCTGGCCGCTCACTTCTCCCTCTGCCCTGACCACTCGCCTGCCTGCGCGGGGATGGCGACTGAGCCGCGTGCGTGGACTCGATCCGGCGCGGACGTGCGTGAGATCCGGAGCGCCCAGACGGCCACCAATGCCCTCCTCACTGCCAGCTGCTCTGATTTTTTTCCCGCGAAAACTCGGCGTTTGGGAGTTGCGGGAACACGGGAGGCCACGCCGGGGGCGGGCGCCTGCCTGGTGATTGGCTGCTTCAGTGGCGGGAAGCAAGAAAGGGGGTGGGGGGCGCCCCCGCCTCTGTCCACCCCCCCCATTCCCCTCAGCGGGCCACGGCCCCGCCCAGCCCTGCGCTCTCTATTGGGCGTGCCCAGTGTGCAGTGGGGCCCAGTGGCGGGACCTGAGTCCTCCCACCATGTGTGCCCTCCAAGAGCTCTCGGGACTGCTGGAACAGGGACCCCCCCACACACCGAGTAGAGACCCCCTGACCTACTAAGTCCGTTCCTGCAGACCCCCCTTTCCGGGCACACATTGACCAGTAGGACAAGGAAAGCCGGAATCAATGTTTAAATACTGCAGGAGGACGTGGGGGGCTCCCAAGAGACCGTCTGACCCCTAATGGCAAGCCTGATCGCCCCCAACCCCACTTCCTAGCGTCAGGGCCTGCCAGCGCTCCCACTTTACCCACCTACAGAACTTGTTGCTAAGTTTTTCCCGCCTCGTTTTCCCGCCTTCTCCGGGCTGTCCAGGCGGGCAGGGCTGCCCTGCCCCCTCTGTCCTGTTTGCTCAGCTCTGGCCAGTCTTGGCAGCCACACAGTGACCAATGCTGGGCACCTAGAAAATGCTTGGATGGGGTGCTCAGAGCTGGGGGCCAGCAGTGGGCAAGGCTGACCCTGTGGGTGGTCTCCAGGAGGGTAAATTCTTATCTGGGGAGACAGGCCAGAAATGAATAAATGAAGCAAATAATTTCAGACACTATATGCAGCGAAGACTGGACAATCATTGGAGAGTGACCAGCAGCCATGTGGGGGTGGGGAGAGGATATTCTGGAGGCGGTGGAGAGGTGGGCCTCTCTGGGGAGATGACATTTGAGCTGAGATCTGAGAAGAGAAACCAAGGACATATGGGTCCAGTAAGGGAGGGCAAGCTCAGAGGCTGGAAAAGGCTGAGAGGTGTATGGGAACAGCAAGGAAGCCAGTGGAGCTGGGCAGACACCGCAAAAGGAAAGGTCGGGAGGGGATGAGGTCAGAGGGATGTCAGATAAGAACTCACAGGCCACCAGGAGGACTTTGGACTCTCTCTTAGAAGCAGCAAGTAACATGGGAGGGCAGTGAGCAGAAAAGTGATGAGTTCCCATTTATGTTTTCACAAGGTTTCTCTGGCAATGTGTAGTTCCTTTCATCTTGGCTCTGGAACTTCTGCTTTGATTTCCCCAGGTGTAGACAGTCATGTTCCCTTACCCCCACCCCACCAAGATGTCCACATCCTAATCCCTAGAGCCTGTGAACCTTCCATGGCAAAGGGGACTTTGCAAATGGGATTAAGTGAAAGATCTTGAGATGGGGCGATTAGCCTAGATTATCTGGGCTGGCCCAATGTCATCACCAGGGTCCTAATAAGTGAGAGGAGGGAAGGTCAGAGTCAGAGAAAATGTGACAAGGGAAGTAAGGGTCAGAATGATGAGACCAAGAGACAAGGAATGTGGGAAGCCTCTGCAAGCTAGAAAAGGCAAGGGACAGATTCTCTCCTAAACCCCTAAATGCAGTCCTGCTAACACCTTGATTTTAGCTCCCTAAAACCTGTTTCAGACTTCTGACCTCCAGAACTGTAAGATAATTAAGTTGTGTTATTTTAAGCCACTAAATTTGTGGTCACTTGTTATAGCAGCCATAGGAAACTAATACGTTCCAACACAAAGTCCAGGCGCTGCTAGCTTTCTCCAAATTCAGGACTCCGTCTGTGCCACCAAATGCACTTCTGAGTGCTCGGCCATCAGCCACATATAGACCACAGGTGTGAGCAGAGATCAAGCAGGCCTACTGGAGCTTATGAAACAAAGGAGATCTTCCAAATTGAGAACACCTGCGGCAGAAACCTGGCCTAGTCCTGGTGAGAGCATACCATTGCTTGTGCCTACTGTTGCAAAAACTCAACATGGCCCAAAGAGGGAATACATTCTTTGTGTACATTTGGTGCAGGGCACAGCCCAGGCTTGGATATCAGAAGTTAAGTAACACAGAAAGAGGTGTCTGGCTTTGCCTACAGAAACGCCCACAAGGGGTGGTGACACAGTGCCCCATTTCTCTAGTCATTTTGAGACGGGGTTGCTTGGGTTAAGTAACACACATGAATAAGAGACCATGCCAAGCATCTCCAAAAGATGCTTACAAGCCAGTTAGGAAAACAAGATTTAAAACAAGATTAGGAAGGGCCGGCCGAGTGGCGTGATGGTTAAGAGCTGGCTTGGGATGCCAAAGGGCCCTGGTTCGGATCCCACATATGAGGGCCAGTGACACTGCCCTCTACAGCTAAGGTGCTGAACAACAGCTCAACCTGGAGCTGGGCTGCCGTCTAGTCGCCGGCGAAGGCGTAGGCTGCAGCCCCTGCTGCAGTGGGTTGCCATGGGCTACCACCGTGTGTAACCACCAGCCAGCGTGAGCGTCCAGAAGCCGGCGACTGATCTGCCTCGCCCAGGAAGAGGGCAACAACTTGGGGCAGTGAAGCAACGTCCTCCACAACTAGACCGAAGAACAAAAGGACAGCAACTTGTCTGTTCCCATCCCCCCAATTCCCCAATAAAAAAAAAATCTTTAAAAAAAAATAAACAAGATTAGGAAAATAAGATTAAAACAAGACTCAGCAACAACAATGAATGAGGCCTGCCAGGGTCTAGAGAATGGACACTTCCTAGTGCCTCTTCTGCTTCAGTGTCCTTCCCACTTGGGCACCAGCCTAAGTCAAATCAGGCACCAGGAATAACTGCTAGGGTACAAAAGGCCTCATTTTCCTTTTGCAAAATGAGATGCTCTCAAAGGTCAGTAAGTCATTCAACAAACTTGGATTAACCGCCCTTGTCTGAACTACATTCTGGGTCTAGCAGACATTAGTGTACACAAGGCTTACTGAGACAAAGCTCCTCCCTAGAGGGCCTTCCCATCCAATGGGGGAAATGCAGGTGTAAAGAGAAATGTCAGCTGTGCAGGGAGATGGTTCATCACGACAGTGTCCATGTGTAGGTGGACCACACAATGCTCTGCGCAGCTTCAGTTCATACCAGATTTCATGTCCTGGCCATATCTGTCATTATTTTTTCTAAACAGATTGATATAAATATAGAGCCATTAAAATGAAAATGACCCCAAAACAATGTGTGAACCCTGAGAGGTGCACAGACCACATTGGGCAGACATCTGATGAGGCAGAAAGTACCTCTGGGCCCATTCGCTGTCCCTCTCCAACTGGACACGGAGCTCGTAACACCTACCTCAGCAGAGTGGTTGGAAGAATTCTTCCCACCCAAGCCTCTAAAACACTGGCACAATGGCAGGTGTCCCCTGTGTGGCAAAAATGTTAGCATCTTACAGTTGTTTTTGTTTGTTTGTTTGTTATTTTCTAGAAAAAGTGGTCAGACTACCATTTCACAAGCCAGTGAGGACTCTGGGATTCCCAAGCTGCTGCCCACTCCCAAGCAACAACCTTGCCTCTCGTCCTCTTGGCCATCAGGGACCCCTTCCCAGAACCCTGGCTGGATGATGTCACAGATGGGTGACCTCACTGAGGCTAAGGAACTGGGCATCTCAGTGGCATGGAAGAGCGAGGAGGATGTTTCTCTACTTGCCCAACCCTCCATGTCTGTGGTGAAATCGATCAAATTAGTGCTGCCCAAGGATGCGGTCTACCTGGCCGGGTCCTGCATTAAAGGGCAGGTACTTCTAACCCTGAACAGCACCCTAGTGGACCCCATCATGAAGGTGGAGCTCGTGGGAAGGGGTTATGTGGAGTGGAGCGAAGAAATCGGGGCATCCCGCGATTACAGCAGAGATGTTATTTGCAACAACAAGGCCGACTATGTGCACAAGACAAAGACGTTCCCAGTGGAGGGTAAGGACAAGGCCAGCAGCCATCCCTAACCATAATAGGCACCTGGGTCTGGAAGTTAAACACATCTGCCAGTCGATCAACAAAGCCCAGGGATATTAGAAATGCACAGAGATGGGGTTCCTTCCTAGGAGGGAAACCATGGCCATCAGATACACATAACATGAAAATAATGAGACATAAGGAGCTGGTCATGGAGGTCTCTCCAAAGAGGTGACTACGGAGCTCAGATCTGAGTGATGGGAGGTACACCAGCCATGTAGCTATCTGGGGGAGGAACAGCAACATGCCGGGTCTTAATACTCAGCAATTGTGTGACCTCTCTGTATCCCTGTTAAGCCATCTGGAAAATGGGAATAAGAAGTCTTACCTCATAAGATTGCTTTGAGGATTTAATGATTTAATGGCATGTAAAGGCTTAGATAGTGCAGGACATACAGTGAATGCTTGAGAAGTGTTAGTTCTTTCAACCAAAACACTCCCCTGCCCCGTGGCCAGCCCCAACATTAGGCACCATCCTTCCTTCCCCATTTCCAGGAGACTGTATTTCCCTGCAGAAGCATCAGCCTCAAGCCTGCAATGGGTTCATTCATTTATTTCGCAAACATTTATTGGACACCTACTGTATACAACACTGTGCCACGTGCTGGGGATACAGCAGTGAATAAAACAGACATGGTCCCTGGTGTCACTGGATTGTCATCAGACAGGGAAAACACAATCATAAGAGAGTTTGGGAGAAATGCAAGAAAAAATAAATTGAAAAGGGGAGGTCACAGAAATGGGGATGGTGTGAGTTGCTCCCTGGTCTTCAGTCACCACTCAAGTAACAAATATTAAGCACCTACTGTGTGCCATGCATTGAAGGCCAAGCTCTGTGAGGGCAGGGAGATTTGGCTGCCTTGCTCACTACTGCAAACACTGCCTAAAACAGCCTCTGGCACACAGTAGGGGCTCAAAATATGTGTGCAGAACAAATGTGCGACTGAATCCTGAGAACCAGTTTCTCAGGCCCAAGACAGAGCTGAGCAAATCCCTGTCGGTGTTTTGGGGTGACTACGCCAAACGCATCACCCACCCTCCAGTCCAGCTGAGGTCGAGGCCTGATATTTATGGGCCATGCAGGTTCCTAAAAGCATATAGCTCAGTCTAGTTCAGGGACAGACAGGCCAGGTCCAGAACAACCTTCCCGCAAAAAAACAATAAAGGGGGGAAAGAAGCTTCTAGAACCTTCTGATGGCATTGGTGTGTTTTGCTTTCAGATAATTGGTTAAGTGCAGGCAGCCACACCTTTGATTTCCATTTCAACTTACCTCCCAGGCTTCCTTCTACCTTCACCAGCAAAATTGGCCACGTCTTCTACTTCGTGCAAGCGTCCTGCATGGGCCGGGAGCACATTCTAGCGAAGAAGAGAATGTACTTGTTGGTTCAAGGGACTTCAGACTTCCACAGGGAAAACCCACTGCAGGTAGTGATGGTGGTTAGAGCAGCGGTAGGGCTTGTCCTCAAAGCTATGGAGTGGCAGGGGGGAGGTGGGTGGGCAGGAGACAGAGAAGGCCCCAGCAGAGAAGGGAAAGGTGTTGGTGGCTCCCCATGCCCTGTGAGTTCACAAGTATGAATCAGAAACCAGGGCAGGAACTAGACCAATAGGACTCTAGGGTGATTATGCCCTCCAGGGGCAACCTTTGTGGTTGTCATGACTGGGGATTCTCCTGGCATTAGTGGGTGGAGGCCAGGGGTACTGCTCATCACCCTATGTGCCCAGGATGGCCCTACCCCAGAGAATGATCAGGCCCCAATGTCTTGAGCCTTAGTAAGTCAAGAATGAGCCGAGGCCTCCCCTTTGCCCGCTGGGTGAGAGAGGGGCCTGGACATTCAGTGACTCTCCAGGAGCTTTGAGCCCTCAGACAATGCAGATGGTGTCCCCACCAAGAAGCAAGGGAAGGGGGTGGCCTTCGTCCCAGGAAGGAAGAACATGTGGCCTGTCTGCCTGAGTGGAGAGAGTTTCTGGATGGCTTCTGGAGGCCCAGGTGCAGAGGCGGAAGTTGGGCGGGTGGAGGAACGTTGGCCAAAGTCACTTCACCTTCCTGGGGACTCATTTGCTATCAGTATGGTGGCTGAGAGGGCTGGCATTTTCATTTTTGAGTTCCAGATTAAAATTCCCAGATCCCCCACCTACCTGCTGTGTGACCTTCTTCTAGAAGTGACCTTGCCTCTCTGTGCCTCCGTGTCCTCATCTGTAAAATGGGCAGAGACACTGCCTGCCTCCTAGGTCATAGGGAGCAATGAATAGACTTAATGCAAGTCCAGGGCTTTGCACAGTGCCTGATATGGGGCAGGGAGGGCAGGGCATGCCCAGTAAATCTTGTCACTGCTGTGACCACCGGTATTGTTATCTGTGTAACAAGGATCATCTCTAGCCCAACCAACCTCAGGGGATGGTCTGGGAGGGTGCCAGGAGGGGTAGATACTTGTAGGGGTGGATCAGCCCTGAGATGAGCAGACATGAGCTCAAGGACGGCTTGGCCACCTGCTCCCTGTGTGACCCTGAGCAGGCTGTGTCCCTTCTCTGGGCCTCCTTTCAGAGCTATTCTGGAGTGCAGCGGCACAAGGCAGGAGTTGGGGCAAAACACTGGCCAAAGGTCAGACCCTGCTTTATATCTCCACCACCAGACACTTCATTAGCCAGACGGCCTTGGGCAATTAACAGCACCTTGCAGAGCCTCAATTGTCCCAATCTGTACAGTGGGAATAATAACAGCAACAACACTTCCCTCATTGGGTGCCCGTGAAGACTGCAAAGCACTCAGCACAGTGTCTAAACATAGGAGGGGCCCAGAAGTAGAAAGAGCGAAAACCACTATCATGGCAGCAAAGGGAGTTATCACAGATAAGTTTTGAGAGTATGAAAATACCGTGTTTTTACCAACTATTCAGTACTGTTTTAACCAGACTGGTCAAGGGAGGCCTCTTGGGAGAGGTGACGTTTTAGTACAGAGTTGAAAAAGGAGAGGGGGAAAACCATAGGGGTAGAGTGTTTCAAGCAGACACAACACGTGCAAAGGTCCTGAGGCAGGATAGAGTGGAGGGTGGAGGGTGAGGGCAGGAGTTGGGGGACCAGGGCAGAGACTACTGCTCTGTTCCAAGTAGAGGCAGAGTCTTGATCCTCAATAGTCTATCCTTCTCAGAGCAGACAGGAAATCACAAGAATGACCCTCCTCTGCCCACAGCCCTCCAGGGCTTCCAACTCCCTGAGGATAAAAGCCCAAGTCCTTCCTGACACCCACAAGGCCCTGCACAGCCTGCTCCCCGCCCCGTCACCTCTCTGCTCTCACCTCATCCCTCTCTCTCACTCTGCTCCAGCCACATGGTCCTCCTTACTGTTCCTCCAACACACCAGGCACAGTCCTGCCTCAGGGCCTTTGAACGAGCTGTTCCCTCTGTTTGGAACACTATTATATGACCTTCCTATCCTTTGGATCTTTGTTCAGCAGTCATGTCTTCACTCACCTGCATTGCTGATGGCCAAATAAACTGCCACAAGCCCCATGGAGGGCAATTTAGCCATATCTATCCAAATTAAAACAAACACGTACTTTGCCCCAGCCATTCCCCTTCCAGAAATTCCTCCTACTGATATTCTTTCATGTGGGTGACATGACTTCCGGCAGCACTGTTTATCGTGACAAAAGATTGGAAATAGCCTAAATGTTTGTTGCTAGGGGAATTGTTTTAGTGCAAGTGCACAATCAAAGGAATACTGTATAGATACAGTAAAGCAAGAGACAGAGAGAGACAGAAACACAAAGAGGCAGCTCTCCATGTCAGGATCTCCAAGTTACTGGGTTGAGTGAATAAAGCAAAGTTCAGAAGAGTAAGTCTAGCCTGGCGCCGTTGGTGGTGAAAACAAATTACTTCCTTGCAGGTATAACAAACATCTCTGGAAAGAGAGCAGAGAAACTGGCAACAGACGCTGGCTCCTGGTAGGGGAGCAGGGGAGTGAGGAGGAAAAGAACTTTCCCCCTTCCACTTTTTGTTTTTAACAGCTTTATTGAGATACAATTCACATACTTTATAATTCAATGGCTTTTAGTGTGTTCACAGAGTTATGCAACCATCACCACAGTCAATTTCAGAACATTTCATCAGCCCCCAAAAGAAATCTTGCATCCCTTAGCTGTCACCCCCAACCTCTTCACCCCCTCCCCATCCCCTGGCAACCACGAATCCACTTCCTGTCCCTGTGGATGGGCCTGTCTGGACATTTCACATAAATGGAATCACAAACTGTGTGGCCTTGAGTGTCTGGCTTCTCTCACTGAGCACCTTGTGCTAAAGGTCCATCCATGTTGCGAGTGTCAGCGCCTCCTCCTAATTTTTAAGGCTGAATCATTTTCCAGTGCCTGGATGGACCACATTGTGTGTACCATTCACCCATTGATGGACACTTGGGTTGCTTCCACTCCTTGGCTATTATGAATCAAACTCTTGGGTGCATGTATGTCTTCCTTTCTCTTCGGTGGATTCCTGGAGTGGAATTGCTGGGTCAGATGGAAACCTTTATTTCACCTTTTGAGGAACTGCCTGTTTTCCACAGCCGCTACCCTATTTTACATTTGCACCAGCAATTTTTCCACATCCCCTCCACTCTTTGTACCTTTAGAATTTTGAAAGATGTATCCCATCTCCTCTTGCAACAGTCAGGACCATTTGGGAGAGGAGCGTGTCACTGAGTCCCTTCCTAACCTTCAATTCTAAGGGATCCCCCATCCTGACTGCCCTTATAGCATCCCTGTTTGCATCCCTCCACAGCCTCGTTGCTGTCCCACCCAGAAATGATCTGGCTCATTTTCAAATGTACTATATATGTCACTCTCCCCTGCCAGAACAGGTCTTCACTGCTATGGGTTTTCCCTGGACTTGGCACCAAATAGATACAAATAAAAACCAGTTGACTTAATGAAGCTCCCACCCCCCCAAAAAAATCAGAAAAGTTTCATGTATGCCAAAGGAATACAGGGTTCCCCAAAACTCCCAGGGCCAGGAAATCCAATGTTGGCTGCTTTAGGAATATTACCAGGAATCAGGGCCCTTTCCCCAGCCCCGCCTGGCCAGGCATGGGGGTCTCCGCTGGGCCACCACAGGTACCTCCTGTTACCACCGTCAGGACTAGGACAGAACTATCACCTTGGACCTGAGTTATGGCAGCGGGTTCCTTCATGTCTGAAGGGTCCTAAGGCATGCCACAGATGGATTTTCAGGTTTTTGAATAAAACTAGAGGGATTTGGAACCAAAACTGCATGCAATGAGCCTTCCTAGAGGAGAGGAAGTGTGGGAAGGTGGAAGAGAGGCAGGGCCACCGGCAGAGGGCAGGAGCTGGGGTAGGAAGGGGTCAAGGGTCACCCAAGGTCTCCAAGAGGAAAGACAGCTGACGTAGAGCAGTGTTTCTCAAACCTCAGATTATGACCCATTAATGGGTTGCAAAATTGATTTAGCAGGTTGCAAGCATATTTCTATAAAATGAAAGAATAGGCAAGAACAACATAGAAAATATCAGAAAATAGCAATTTTGTAGGTTGCAAACATTTATATATATTTATATATACATTTACAAAATTCATTTATATATTTATAGGTACAAAAAAAGAACAGAGAATAAAATAAGTAGAATAGAAAATTTCAGAAAAAATCAGTTTGGTGGGTTGCAGTCAACTTTAAATGAAAGAATAGTTTTCCAGAAAAAAAATTAATTTGGTGGGTTACAACCAGCTAATTTTTATAAAAGTTTTGTTGCATATGAAACAAAATAATAGACTAGATAGAACAGGGGTCGGCAAACTGCAGCTCGCAAGCCACATGCGGCTCTTTGGGTACATTCCGTCTCAAAAGTTTGTCGACCCCTGGAAGAGCTAATCCTGTCCCTCACAACAATTTAAAAATTATTCGAGAGCCATAAATATATTTTTACATATATATTATATGAATAATATTCTTTAAAAATTTTACAAATGAAACTATGATAGTTTTATTTTCATTTTCAATTTTACTTCAGAGCCTGCGGCTTGCAAGCCGCAGTTTGCTGACCCCTGGCGGCTCTTCCATCTCAAAAGTTTGCCGACCCCTAGATTAGAATATGTAGACTAGAAATAACAAAAATAAATTCAGAGATTTGTAACCAACATTTTTATATGAATAGAATATAGAATAGAGTAGAACAGGAAATGTAACAAAGATAAATATAATTTCATGAAACTTACTCCTTTTTCTTAGATCTAGGTGTAGATAGGTAGATATAGATTTGTTTCTTTGCCACAATGTTAAAATCTATGTTTTTAACTATGAGTTGTGTTGTGTTTTTTTAAGGGAAAATATATGACAAATACTGCATGTGGCCTGCAAAGCCTGAAATATTTATTATCAGTTCCTTTACAGAAAAATCCGCCAACTCACATCCAAGAGAAACTCCAGGTATAAGCCCAAGAAAATTGTCTTCAGGTTGCTCCTTCTAGCACTTTTATAGTATCAAATACATGGAAACAATATAAATATCCATCTTGGAGGAGATAGGTAAATAAATCGTTTTGCAACACACTCAATGGAATCATGAAAACAAATGAACCAGTTACCGACACGAATGTATTTCAAACACAGAATCCTGAGCTAGAAGAGCCAAGTGGCAGGAAGACATATGTAGCTTATTTAAAATATTAAAATATGTGAAACAGTGCTGTATACTTCTAGCACAAATAGATGTAGTCCTAAATAATATAAAAATCCCATGAGGAAGAGGACAAGTACCAAATTCATGATGCAGAGGAGAGGGAGCATGAGGCAAAGCCCACAGAAACCACGAGATTTCAGTTGAATTGGTAATGTTGTATTTCTCAAACTGGCTGGAAGATACATTTTAACTTGTTATACTATTCTCTACAAGCATTTTTCTAAAGCAATATATCTTGTTTAGGTCCCTACACATAAACAGGTGCAGATCAAGGAAAGTGATTACTATTAATATAAAATTCAGTACAGTTGCATTTGGGGAGCTGAGTGGGGGGCTGGGACATGTGAGGGACTTTGGGGGAAAACAGGCAAATTTCTACTTTTTTTTTTTTTAAGATTTTTATTGGGGAATTGGGGGATGGGAACAGCGCTGGGGAATTGGGGGAAGGGGAACAGACAAGTTGCTGTTGTTTTTGTTCTTCAGTCTAGTTGTGGAGGACGTTGCTTCACTGGCCCAAGTTGGCACCATCATTGCGCTCTTCCTGGGTGAGGCAGATCAGTCGCTGGCTTCTGGACGGCCACTCACTGCAGCTGCTGGCCGCTCACGCTGGCTGCTGGCCGCTCACGCTGGCTGCTGGCCACACATGGGGTAGCCCATGGCAACCCACTGCAGCAGGGGCTGCAGCCCACGCCATCGCCGGCAAGTCATGGCAGCCCAGCTCCAGGTTGAGCTGTTGTTCAGCATCTTAGCTGTAGAGGGCAGTGTCACTGGCCCTCATATGTGGGATCTGAACCGGGGCCCTCTGGCATCCCAAGCCAGCTCTTAACCAATGCGCCACTCAGCTGGCCCAAATTTCTACTTTTTTTTTAATTTGCATATTTATTATGATTTGAAAACAGTGTTCTGCTATGTCTGATATTTTTATGCAAATTTCTACTTTTTTAGTTGGGTGGATGTTATGAGAGGGTTGGCCTTATAATTCACAGGTATACATTTGCTTTGTGGGTTTTTCTGTATCTGAGTTGTATTTTTAAATAATGTTGAGTTTTTAAAAAAATTCATAGATATGCTAAACCCCAAATTCAGGATAATGGTTACCTCCAGGGAGGGAGAGGAGAGAACGGCATTGGGCAGGGGTCCATGGGGACTTCAACTAGATTTCTGATGTTTTATTTCAAATTATGGTAAAATGATATAACATAAAATTTGCCATCTTAATCATTTTTAAGTATACATTCACATGGTTGTGCAATACTGATGTTTTATTTCTTAAATGAACAGAGCTCTGAAGCTAAGTGGGAGAAGTCCTGTTAATAAAGCAGGAACATGGCAGTGGTGTGCTAGTTAACAACCAGCTCTGGTACAAGGAAGCCCGGATGTGTAATATTTGCCGATTTCCATGGTGTAAATACTTCCATGATGGTCAATTTCAAGTTACCAACTTGATGTCACTAATGGGAACTTGGGAGTTTGCAAGCATTTGCTACACTTCTCTCTCTCTCTCCCTCCCGCTCCCCCTCTCCCCCTTCCTCTCTAATATGCTTAAAAGGAACAAGCACACACACATAAAATTTACAAGTTCCTCTGTAAGAAGATACCGGAAGGCAGCAAAAGTGGAGAGCGAATCATTCTAAGCCCGCCCCATGTTACATCAAATCTTTACAAATATTATCCACAAACAAAAAATAAAATGTCACCCAAGCCACACATTAAATAATGGATATGTGACTTTATTTGCAATCCAGCAAATAACTAGTTGATGTAAGGGCTGCCTTTTGAGGCATTTACATATTTTAACACATTACATAATTTCAACTTTACAGTTTTCTTTTCATGATTCAGAGTCCATAATATTTCCTCCTTAAGTCTGAACAACTTAGGTAAGCCCTAGTCTTGGGCTTAGACTGTAAGATAGTCCGTGTCTTCCAGAAAACCAAGGCTCAGAGAGGTCAGACCATTTGTTGAAGGCCACACAGCAAGTAATAGAGCTGAGGATGAAGTTAGGGTCTTATGGATTTCTTAGCCCTATTTTACAGATAAAGAAATTGATACTCAGAATGGCAAAGGGCTTTGATTAAAGGAAGCTGGGAGATGACACCAGGCTTTTGGCTGCAAAATCCCCAAGACTCCAGGTTCCATCTCAGTGCCTCTTACTAGGCAAGTCCCAAGAGGCTCAAGGCTTGGAGGAGCTATAACGGTGACATGTTAGGCAGGCGAATGGATCTTGTGGCCACAATCCTTTACAGTTGTCCATTACCCCCCACCCCCACCTCTTCTAGAATCCCCTGTTCGTGGAGGCTGAGAAGAGGGTCTCCTACAACTGCTGCAGCCATGGTACCATCTGCCTACAGATCCAGATGGAAAAGAACACTTTCACTCCAGGGGAGAGGGTCATTTTCACCACGGACATCAAGAACCAGACCGGCAAGCGCATCAAGACTGTCATCTTCGCCCTCTACGCCCACATGCAGTACAAGGGCTTCACGCCCAAGGCAGAGCAGCGGTCGCGGGTGGACAGCAGCGAGCTGCTCCGGCAGGAGGCCAACACCCAAATCACACCCTTCAACACCACCAAGATCGTCAGCACCTTCAGCCTTCCGCAAGTGTTGCCCGTGAGCAGTGACATGCGAAACAGCGAGATCATGAGCACCAAGTACGAGCTGGTCGGCACCGTACACCTGCCCTGGTCCCTGACCAGCGTGAAAGCCAAGGTTCCCATCATCATCACCAGCATCCCCCCAGACTCAGACAGCGGCCAGCTGCAGGAGGAGGCAGTGTGACCCATGAGAGAGTATTGCCAGAATTACGTGCCCAAACGTCTAAATATTAAAAGCTTTATCACTCTACCCGCAGCTCTTTCTTTGTCTTGCACAGATGACCTTCAGAAGAGGCTGGGTGTGGGGAGCACATTGCCTGAATCTCCCCAAGCTCTAGTTGTTTCAGCATCCATTTCTCCCAGCCCCAAAAAGTTCACTGCCAGGAGAGACAAAGGGAAATGACAAGCCTTCCAGGACCCCGCCCCAGTTAGCTAGCTAGTGCTCCAGACCCATCTGGATGGGGTCTTATGGTGCTCAAACCGGGGGTCCTCAGCCAGGGGTGTTTCTTTCCTCCAGGAGACACTGGGTGATATCTGGGGACATCTGTGATTTCATGACATGGCGGGATGCTCCTGGCACCGAGTGGGGTGGGGCCAGGGATGCTGTTTAGCACCCCACAGTGTCCACAATGGCCCCAACCCAGAGAATGACTAGGCCTCAAATGTCAGCAGTGCCAAGGGAGAGAGCCCCTGGGCTGGGGAAATTCATGGGGAGCAGGTGATCGTTGAGTCCCAGAGCTGGGTCTGTGGGCGTCTTACTCACATCAGCTCCTGCCCCTCCTCCACTCACAGTCCCCCTGGGGCTCCGCCCCTCCCCCCATTCAGGGTAAAAGCCAAAGTCCTCCCAGCAAAGGGCATGCATATCTGCCATGTCCAATCCATTGGCAAGCCACAGGGGCTCATTCTCCTAAATCTACCCAGAATTGTCCCGTCCCTCCCCTCCTCTGCCTCTGCTTTACTTCTATCTATCAATCATCATCGCTCACCTGGACCAGTGCAGTCACTTGCACCTGGGTCTCCAGGTTCCAGGTCCCCCTCCCTGCAAATAAAGATCCAGGATGCCCACTTAAATTTGCATTTCAGAGGAACAATAATTTTTTTAGCGTAAGTACGTCCTACACCATACTTGGTATAGGAGGTTGGACGGGACAATTAAGTTCACAAACTTGTTGCAATAATGTTGCTAAACTTTTTTGATAGCAGAGGGATTCTTCATTATGAATTTGTACCGACTGGACAAACAGTTAACCAAGTTTACTATTTGGAAGTGCTGAAAGGGCTGCGTGAAAAAGTTAGATGAAAATGACCTGAAATTTTCGCCAACAATTCATGGCTCTTGCATCACAACAATGCACCAGCTCACCCAGCACTGTCTCTGAGGGAGTTTTTAGCCAGTAAACAAATAACTGTATTGAAACACCCTCCCTACTCACCTATTCTGGCCCCCAATGACTTCTTTCTTTACCCGAAGATAAAGGAAATATTGAAAGGAAGGCATTTTGATGACATTCAGGACATCAAGGGTAATACAATTGCTCTGATTGCTATTCCAGAAAAAGAGTTCCAAAATTGCTTTGAAGGGTGGATTAGGCGCTGGCATCAGTGCATAGCTTCCTGGGAGTATTTCCAAGGTGACTATAGTGATTCAGCAATGAGGAATGTAGCACTTTTTCTAGGATGAGTTCTCCAACTTAATTGTCAGACCTCATATACTTATGCTTAAAAGAACTCACTCATTGTTTATCTGATATTCCAATTAAACTGGGCATCCTGGATTTTATCTGGCAATCCAATTCCCCAAGCAACTAGAAGCCTCCACACAAATTGGCTTAAAATCTCCATCAGTTCAGTTCCCCACAGCACTTGCCTTGGCCCACAAGGTCCTGCATTGTCAGGAATGGAGGAAGGAATGGACCACAGTGTTTTCTTGGGCTAATGACTCTGCAATATTTCTCCAGGCAATCACAGGCTACACATGCCTCACTCATGCCCGCAGAAAGAAGGCATATACATTTGAATGGCAGCCCTGCCCACCCGCAGCATCCCGTTAAGATTCCAGAAAAGGAGGCAGGTAACTCCAATGGAGCCACTGTTTTAGATCAAAGGTTTTTTAGGGGGAAGGGAGGCCAATAGGACACCCAAATTTACTTATCTTCTAATTTTTGGGGGGTGGGGAAGAGACCCCTCACTTTTTACCACGTTTTTAGGGCATCTCCAAAAGAGCTAGTAGGGTGGGGGTCCTGGCTCCCTGGAGGGGGTTTTGCACCCATGGATGCACCTTGACTTGAACTAGTTACTTCACTGGTAGTTCCAAAATAATGATTTTTCTAATCCTATAGACTCCTGAAATCTGTCCTCATTAAACACTCCCCTCCCCTAGCCCCTGGCACCACCATCTACTTCCTGTCTCTATGAATCTGACGCCTCTGGGGACCCCATATAAGGGGAATCACACAGTGTTTGTCCTTCTGTGTCTGGCTTATTTCACTGAGCATAACGTCCTCATGGCAGGGGTCAGAGGGTCCTTCCTTTTTAAGGCTCAATAATATTTCATTGTATAGACACTATATTGTATTTATCCATTCATGCCTCTGACTTGGGTATGTCATCTTCCTTTTGCAGAGGACAAAAGGATCCACCCCTGAGATAGTACCATCTGCTCGGGTACTATGGGATAGGACAGTGAGTTGGATCAACGCAGGACGAATCTGAGGCCTCCTGGTTCAAAGGTGCCCCCTCCAGCCTGATGACACCTGGCCTCTGTATTATCTCCACTTCCTTTTTATTTGGGGCAAGTGATTTCTCCTCTCTGGGCCTCAGTTTCCCCATCTGTGAAATGGAGAGAACACTAGTATTAACCTGTAGGGTTTGGAAGTCCTTGTCACTTCATTGTCCTTGTCTTTCTTTTATTGTCTTAGACTTTTTACTTGGAAAAATTCCAATCCTACGGAAAAGAGGTGAAAGATACAATAGACACATGGTCTTCCCCCTCGATTTTCTTTTTTTTTTTTTTTTTTTTAAGATTTGATTGGGGAATTGGGGGAGGGGAACAGACAAGTTGCTGTCCTTTGGTTCTTCAGTCTAGTTGTGAAGGACGTCTCTTCACTGGCCCATGTTGGTATTGTGATCATTGCACTCTTCCCGGGTGAGGCAGATCGGTCGCCAGCCACTGGACGACTGCTCATGGCGGCTCTTGGCAGCTCTCGGGGCTACCAGCCGCTCACGCTGGCTGCCAGCCACTCACGGTAGCACAGCAGCACACTGCAGCAGAGGCTGCAGCCTACGCCGTCGCCAGTGACTCGCGGCAGCCCACCTCCAGGTCGAGCTGTTGTTGTTCACCATCTTAGCTGTAGAGGGCACAGCATCACTGGTCCTCATATGGGATCCGAACCGGGGCCCTGCTGCTCAGAGCTGGTGGCCCAAGCCAACTCCTAACCAACACACCACTTGGCCTGCCCGCACCTCGATTTTCTAACTGTTGATAGTGACCATTTTTGCTCTCTTCCTCTTTCTCTCTCCCATTTGAAGCATCATAGCACTCCATCGCTACACTTGCAATTCACCCCATATGTTAAGAATCAGGAGCTTCTAGAAAACCACAGTACCACTACCACTCTCAGAGGGTTGACAGAGGCACCACTGCCATCTCATATACCACATGCTCCACATTCCAAGTTCCCACAGTTCCATATATCTTTGTTATTGTAGTAAAATATACATAAAATGTACCATCTTACCATTTTTAAGAGCCATTCAGCAGCATTAAGCACATTCACACTGTTGTGCAGCCATCCCCACCGTCCATCTCCAGAACTTTCCATCTTCCCAAACTGACACTCTGTCCTCATTAAACACTCACTCCCCTCCCCTCCCCCAGCCCCTGGCACCACCATCTACTTCCTGTCTCTATGAATCTGACTCCTCTGGGGACCTCCTATGAGTGGAATCACAGTGTTTGTCCTTCTGTGTCTGGCTTATTTCACTGAGCATCATGTCCTCATGGCAGGTATCAGAATATCCTTCCTTTTTAAGGCTGAATATTACATTGTATAGACACCATATTGTGTTTATCCATTCATTCATCGATAGGCATTTGTTTCATCTTTTGGCCATTGTGAATAATACTGCTGTGAACATGGGTGTACAAATATTTTTTAAGGCCCTGCTTTCAATTCTTTAGTGTATATACCCAGAAGTGGAATGCTGGATCATATGGTAATTCTATGTTTAATTATCTGAGCAACTGCTATACCATTTTCTACAGCAGCTGTGTCATTTTACATTCTCACCAAATATATCTTTTATAGTTGGAATTTGGGCGGGGGGGGGTTGGGGAAGAAGCAAGGAGGTGGAGACAAATCCAGACTCCAATGGGGATCACAAGTTGCATTTTCTTGACACGTTTCTTTCATCTCCTTTCTCTAGATGCATACCCCTTTTTGGTGTGTTTCACGACTCATTTTTTTAGGGGTCTGGGCCGGGTATCTTGTAGAATCTCCCAGAATCTGATGTTTCCTCATGATTAAATTCAGGCTATGTGTTTTTGACACTGAGCAATTTCAAAAGTGATATTAATGTCCTCCTCCTTAGTGCACAGTACCAGGAGGCACATGATGGTGCTTTGTCACCTGACTGGTGATGTGACCCTTGATCACTTGGTTCCAGTGGTGTCTCTCCCCATTACAGGTGTCTTTGCACCTTTGTTATTGATAAGCAATCTGTGAGGATATTTCAAAACTATGACCACCTTGTCTCTTACAACCTTTTACCCAATGGGGTTTTGAACCCATGGATGCCCCTTGGCTTGAACTATTTACTTCACTGGTGGTTGCAAAACAATGACTTTTTTAATCCTATAGACTCCTTCCATATCTGCTACCTAAATTGTAGCAGGAGCTTTCCCTACTCCACCCAGCCCCCCACCTGCTATCTTTCCAATCTTTCTCCAGCATTCCTTATAGCTGACCATTTCCTCTTGCTTCAAACATCCTCTTCCCTTGATTTCCCTGATGCCACACCATAATCCTCCTTCTCTCACTTCTCAGATTTTGGATTTGGGGCTTCTGCTTTCTTTAAACCTATAGATTCAGTGCCTCCTCTTCCAGGAAGCCTTCCAGCCATGCCAGGCAGAGCATTCCCCCTTCCACTTCCAGGTCCTGAAATATGGATAATCTTCAAGGTTCATTTCCACAGACACCCATAACCCAATGTTTGTTCAACATTTTGAGTTCTGGAAATACTAGGTTGAGGGCTCTGGACTTGATCCTATGGCTTATGGGGAAATGCTTGGAGTGTTTTTCTTTGTTGATGGGATAGAGAGTGAGGATTTGAGAAAATAGGTTTGAAAATCACTCCGATGACCCTGTGGATGGAATAGAGTTGAGACAGAACACGAGAATATGTTCAGGAAACTATAAGGTCTGAATAATATCAGAAATAATTAGGACAATAATAATACTGTGGCATAGACTAGCTCGATGTCCATCATACTGTTTCTTCCTGGGCAGATGACTAGACTACATTTCCCAGCATCCCTTGTAGTTCGGTGAGGCTGTGTGACTGATTTGGCCAATGGCGTGTAAGAGGAAGCGATATGTCACTTCCAGCCAGCTCCATTGAAAACCTCCCACAGGTGTCTTCTCTCTTTCCACCACCCCCCTTATTTTTTTTCAAAGATTTTTTTAATTGGGGAATTGGGGGATGGGAACAGCGCTGGGGAATTGGGGGAAGGGGAACAGACAAGTTGCTGTCCTTTTGTTCTTCAGTCTAGTTGTGGAGGATGTTGCTTCACTGGCCCAAGTTGGCACCATCATTGCGCTCTTCCCTGGAGAGGCAGATCAGTCCCCGGCTTCTGGACGGCCGCTCACGGCAGCTGCTGGCCGCTCACGCTGGCTGCTGGCTACATACGGTAGCCCATGGCAACCCACTGCCACAGGGGCTGCAGCCTACGCGTCTCCGAGACTCATGGCAGCCCAGCTCCAGGTTGAGCTATTGTTCAGCATCTTAGCTGTGGAGGGCAGTGTCACTGGCCCTCATATGTGGGATCCCAACCGGGGCCCTCCGGCATCCCAAGCCAGTTCTTAACCATTGCGCCACTCGGCCAGCCCTCCACCCCCCCCCCTTTTTAAAAAAATATTTATTGGAGAATTGGGGAAGGGGAACACTGTTGTTTTTTCCAGGACCCATCTTAGTTGT